ACCACGCTAACTTCTCAACAAGACTAAAACGAAGGCAGCACTAAGAATGTTAGTGATGACTATTATTTCTTATTCCAGTATCTTGTTGAGAGGATTCACGGGAAAGAAGGTAGACAAGAGTTTGGCCATAAAACTTCCATGAAGCTCTAATTACAAACATTTTAAAGTGAAACTGAGTGCAGTGCTCACCCTCAAGTAACAATGGGTTAATATTTAATTTTACACAGTAAATTAAAATATTTTTCTATTTTAAAAAGTGCATCTGTTACAACAGAGATTTCAAAAATGAGGAAAATCTTTAGTCATAGTTTATTATTCAAAAAAATAAACAATTTACAGATGTTACAATCCATTAAAACTTTTCTAAATAATATTAAATATTGAGATCAAAATTATTATCTTAAAAATAATTTATCAAAATAATTTCCATTTTGAATTAATTTATTATCACTTAATTAAACAAACATTTAAAATTATCATATATAGCATTAATATAATTTTCATAGTGATTAATTAATATGATACAGTAAACTTAAACTGATATAGTAAAGGTCAAGCATAATTAACAACCAATTAAACAATATTAAATAAAAATATGATCAAATTTTGAAAGATTTAAAATGAAAGCTTAAACAATTCCAAAATTTCATTTGAACTATAAACTAATCTAGATATTTAACTTTGGAACATAAACATGTTCATAAAGAAGCATATGAAAGTTAAATGTCTAAAAATCAGGCAATAGATTTACATGCTATAGAAGAAGTTTCATTTTCAGACAGCTAAAAAGAAATATTATGAAATCTATTAATATGAGAGAATTTTAGTTTTTTACAGCAAGCATGATATAATGCATAAGGATTATTTAAAATGTTAAAATCATAAATTAAATAAAATAGGCAATAAAAATTAACACTTTGGTTTTTTGGTTTTGCTGTTATCAAAATCAAAACTGGCAGAAAATAACAGCTTGAAATTTTTGTTTGTCAGCTGAAAATGTACAAAAGTTTGAATTTTATATATGAAAAGTTATTTGGAGGTAACAAAGTATTGTACAGTACATGAAAAAGAAAATTGCCCAAAAGATGGAAATTTTTTACATGCTCAATAAATCATCATAGACTTTTACAATCATGTCATTTACAATATACATACACATCATGTCATATACATCATGTCATTTACAATCAGTACAATTTACAGGTGAACATAACATTGAAATTTGCAACTTGAAATTTTTCATCTATACATTTAATAATTAAAATTAACAATAAAACAAAATGTGCATAACAACTATATTATAAAGAGTTAAAGGATAGGTATGATCACATAAATATAATATAATATACACTTTACAATAATCAGTTCTATGTATAATGCTTATAACACTGTAAACAATATGATTCTGACAAATTACAAATTTATTTTCAATTTTAAAATAACAAAACAACTGTACTGTACATAAACACAGATTTATAGAAAAAGATAACATATACTACTGTCTGTTGACATTATGTAAAAGTAATGTATTTTGCGAGTACTTTCAACAGTATATTATTATTCATGAATGATTCTGCCTGAAGAGGAATTATATACTGTTGAAAGTACTCACAAAGTAGACTACTTTTACATAATGTCAACAGACAGTGGTATATGTTATCTTTTTCTATTAATATTTGGTGTGTACAGGTATTTACAACTTTATTACTAACAGAGATTTATATTGTAAAAATGTAAACATTTAAAAATCTATTTATTTCAAAAAATCATCACACATTGTTTATATTTAAAATTTAAATTCTTATTCTTGTAACAGGTATAAACCATTCCTATTCAATCTAAAAGCTTTAATGCATTAACTATTCATTTAGTAAAAACAATAGTAAAAACCATAGCATCAAGAATTCTACATTAAGAGGGAATATTTGTTTCTATTACTGAGATAAGCATATAGAACTTTAAATTTAAATAGTATAACTGATAAATGGTGTAGTGTGTTCTAAAGCATTAAGTAATATGTTCTTAAAAGTAATATTTATGTATACTTTTTTACATTATTTCTTACTGATAAGAATAGGCCTTATGGTTTATTCTTTTTCTTATCAGTCCAATTCTTATCAATAAAAAAATCTATTTTTTACTGATAAGAATTGGATAAATTTCCTTTGTTGATTTTTCATATTTATTACATACGTTCTATTTTAATGTTCTTTTTCTAATGTTCGATTAACTGATGAAGACCATTAAAACGGTCAAAAACATTTTTATGTTATTAAATATATATTGCTGGATAGATAAAGGTGGGATTTGTATTAGTTATTCACGTTCCAGTAGATTTTTATTTTAGTAAAAAATGGAGCAATATAACTAGATTTGTTAAAGATCCAAGATTAAATAACAGTATTTGTTTCTGCATTAGAGATAAATCTGTACAATTTTAAATCTAAATGGTAAAGAACTGAATCAAAATACAAAAATGATCTATAACAATAAGTGAAATGTTCCCAAAAGTAGTGTTTATAGGCCTATATGTTTTTGAAAAAATAATTTAAGAGACAGGAATAACAAATTGAGTCTGTCACACATACTTTGGTTACAATATACATTAATAACATTCAACATTTATTTGCCAACAAACTAACAAATAATGCTGAGTAGTAATGATGGTTAAAACAAACCAGGAAATATGTTTCACTTCTGATCATTCTTGCACATGTTTTCTGCTATAGTCATTGTAAATATAATGTCATTTTGTTTCTAAAACATGAAAGAGCCCAACCAAATTTTGACAGAATTCCAAAGTTGATTTGGAAAGGTCTTAACTACTGTTAACAGTCTCAGATAGTTGGGCAATTTATATAAGAAATAGTGTTACAAAGAGCAAATGCATTAAAAACCCAAGATTAGACAGAAATGTTTGTTGCTGACTACAGAGATAAATTTGTAGAATTTTAAATCAGAACAGTATATAGCCTAACTGATAATGATTATGATTATAATTATGGATGCAACTGTAAATTATTAATATTTGCATTATATAATTGTAAATGATTGTGTGTGGAAGAATGCTCTAAAATATTAAATGAAATAAATATTTTGCTCCTGGATACATTCTTTATATATATTTTTCAGTGTGCAAAATAAAATATGTGAATAACAAATAATCTGCTGATACAAAGATCTATTTGCATCAATAAGAAATGAAAATTAGATAGGAATGTTTTTCTGCTGTGAAGTGAATTGTAGAATTTTCAATCTACCAGGTGTACCAGTTAATAATGCAGATTTTGTTCAATACCTGGTATTACAGATATATTGATATATATTAGATTTGATATGTATGCCATTTTATTGAATTGACAACAAGCTTTCAAACTTTATACATTCAATTTTCTGAAAGTGTTAACATCATAGATATTTCCATGCTTAAATATGTCAAATTTTGTTGTGAAAAAAGCATTTGCAGGAAGTTTTAATTCATTACTTTATTTTGAAGAAAAATGCTGCTAAAAGTTATTGTATACTTCGAAAAGCTTATGGTAAACATGCCCCATCTCCAGATACTGCAAGGCCAAATTGCTTCAGAAAGAAGATAACGCTTTGCGTTTGGTGGGATTAGGAAGATGTGGTATATTATGAGCCTCTAAACCAAGTGAAACCGTTAATATTGATTGTTACCGACAACAAATAACCAATTTAAACCACATGTTGATTATAAAATAATCAGAATGGGTCAGAAGACACTGCAAAGTAATTTTGCTTCACAATAACACACCATCACACACCTTAAAACTAGTTAAACACACGTTAAAAGATCTTGTATGGAAAGTATTAATCCACCCCCCGCCATACTCACCATACCATGCTCCTTCCAATTTACATCTGTTCCGATCAATGACGCACACACTTTCTGAGCAGCAAAACATACAAAGAAGTGGAAAAAAAGGTCTCTGAATGATTTGCCTCAAAACAAAGTTCTATTGGGAGAAATCCAGAAATTACCTGAAAGATTTGGAAAATGTGTAGCTAGCAATGGACAATGCTTTGAATAAAGCACTTTTGCTATTTCTTTTAAAATGTTTGTGTTTTCTTTGATTAAAAAATCCACATTATTAACTGGTACACCTGATAAATGCTATAAAAGTAATAACTGATGCAGAAATGGTTTAAAGCATTGAATAAAGTAAGTTTTTTTTTCAGAAAGTGATGTTTATATACATTTTTTACCATACAGTATAAGACGTATCCTGTGACATGGTCTATTCACATTAGCATAATTATCATCTCACCCAACATTAGGTACTATCAGATGTTATAGAGTTTATAATGTAAGATTATGCAGAGAGGCCCAAACTTCAGTGCCTAGGGAGTCCCAGATCTTAATCCTCCCCTGTATGTTTTTAACACTCTTGTTCAATACATTTAAGCTATTTTCTTCTCTTCATAGTTCCTAACACTACAAGAAAGTTTGACAATACACTTTAATTAATAATTTCTCTTGTTGGCATAGCAATACCCCAAATAAGTAATGTTCAAAGCATCATCTGCAGTGGAAATTGTAGATTTTTCACATTTTTTAATATTAATTTTCAAATTATTTTAAATCTTTCAATGATTTAAATGTATAAAAATGAAATTTATCTTACTCTTTAATTTATCTTCGAATTATTCGATAAATAAATACTAAAGAGACTTTACTCATTTATTCTAAAAATAAAATTAAATTAAGAAAAATAAATAAATAAATAAAGTAAATTGTCAACAATTACAGACGATTAAATTTAAAAGCGACCAAACGACATTACCGGAAGCGCCATCTATTGATAGCATCTTTCGTAAAACCCGTGACATAATTTAGAAAACGGATAGGTTAAAACAATAAGAATTGTTAAAATATTTTAATAACTTTCATGAAAAGTTACGAAATTTTATTAATTAGAAATGAATATTTAATGTGGAAAATGTGAATTATAAGTGGTATACATCACGATAAACGCCACCTTTCGGCCGATGTCGTCCATTTTGGATAGTAGAGTAAAAAAACCTTCGTTTGAGTTAAAAAGATGAATTGGTTTATGTGCATGGTTATAACAGTGATAAGATAAAGATCCAAAATGCATACGGTAACTGTTATAAGTAAGTTTAGCTCGATATTAATCGAGAATATTGCGTATTCAAGATGTTGGTGTTAAGCCTAGCCATCATCAACTTGAAGGAAAGGGGAAATTTTGACGACGAAAGATGACGATTCTGATGTGAGTTTAGATATTTGTGAAGTTAATAAAAGGTAATGATTCAGAATGGCACAGAGCCTGATCGCCCAGAAAGGTTTGCATGGTACTACCATGAAGACTGTACAGCAAGTTGGCATCTCCACCAAAAAACATTATCAGAAAAAAGGCAGAGAACAGAAACGTTACGAAAATACGTCGACTGGACGAAAATCGGACGGTGAGAGTACTTATTCTAGTTCATCGGACGAACGTGAGTTCTCCATTGTTCGTGAAGGCTACTCAAGTGGCCAATTAAAACTAAAAATCGCTAAAAGGAGGATTAAAACAACCTGCCATCCGGCCAATTTCGAAATGTCTACGGAGGTAGACACTAACGTTGTTGAATCTACTGCCGAGAACGCCAGGCCGTCTCTGAAGATGGTCATCAAGCATTCGCAGTATAATGTGTCGAGCGCGGGGGTTTTCGAGGCCAGCATGGGAGATTCCCGTCGTGAAGACGCCGATAGAAACGATTCGGAAGGCGATGCCAAGTCGTCTGGTAAGAAGTTTGCTTCGGTGATCAACTGCAGTGCCATTAGTCGGGAAGGCGAATTTTATAGTGATGATGTAAATGCGAATTATAAAAATTATAGATCTGATTCTAAAGAGTGTTCCGAGGTTTTATTTAAATTTGGCATGAAGAGAGAGAAGAAGAACTCTCCGGTCATCAATAGAGAAAATTGTAAAACAGTGAGGAGCGAGTTAAACGAGAGGCGCTCCAAGTTTGAACGCCCAGTGTTTTCGGAAAGCAAGACGGTGGACTTTGTTGCCGTTAAACACGGCATGAAGGAGATGGGTCATCATTCCGACACAGAGTTAATTCTCTCATCGGAAGCCAAATACAATTTGGGTAAGAAAAATAGGGGGAAGAGTGCCAAAGAGAGAAAATCTGAAAAAAAGAATTATCTTCAAAATATAGAAATTGTTAATTTTGGTTATAAAGCATGTGATGCAAGTTCATCTAAGGGAAAACACGTTCATAATTCAGTAGTTAAAAGGTATGTAGATAATGATAATTTTACTTCTGATAAAAACAATTGTTCGAATAATAGAAAATTTCATTCCAAATCCGAGTCTGTCGTTGAACCTTTGAATGTATTGGCATATAGTGCATGCCATTCTTCGAATTTAGAATGTGACACTATTCTTGTAAATACAATGTCAAATGTTTCTCCAGATAGTGGAATACAATCTTCGGGTGACTCTCCTCTGCAGACAAGTGAATGCAGTCTTTTTAATGTTTCTTCTTATACTAATGCAGATTTATCATCACAAACCTGTACAGAAAATAAATTTCAACATGTAAAGGAGGGCGAAAGCACTCCAGAACGTTGTTATTCTAATATTTATTCTTCAAATTCACCATGTAAATATAGATCCGAAGAAAGTAATAATATAAATTCATCTCCTGTGATGTCCATAGAGAGAAATGAAGAATTAAATTTTAATGTTAATGAAAATAAATTATTTCAAGATTCCACAGAAGATTTTCAGATGAGTCATACTCCTCAGGTAAAATCTCCAAGTGATTATCAGTATAATAGTGATGCTGTAGATGACGACGATAAGTTATATGAATCAAAGGAAATTTCAAACCAAGAAAAAAAATCAATCAATTTTGATAATGCTGAAAAATTAAATATGTGTGATGCTAGTAATAATCAGTCCTCAGAAAATTCTGTTAAAAAGAAACAGCATAGAAATTCTTCAAATGAAAGACATGCCGATACTGGAAAAGCTGACAGTGAATTACAAAAATTAATTCAAAATGTACAAGATTCGATTAGTTTACAGTTTCAAAATATAGAATCTGATGATTTAAGTGATTTAGATTTTAATGATAATTCAATAGGTAAGTCTTTTACTGATGATAAAGATTCTTCAAAAGTAGCAATGTATGACAGAGACGATACTCAGTTCAGTGCAGATACAGTGATGTGTTCAGCACAGAGTGATGACTGCAGCAATGGTAGCAATATGCCCTTTGAGAATGTAGAAAGTAGAAAATCGAATCTGAATGAATATGATGATAAACAATGTAATTCTTATGATTATGATTTTGATGTTAGCACTTCACCAGCAACAATTACAGGTTATTGGAGTGAAACTATATGTCTTGCCTCACCAAATTCAACAAATGATGAAAATAAGAGTTTAGTTAGTACTGTAAATATGAAATCTGAAAGTTTAAAAACTGTTGAGCTGGATAATCATACCAGTGAAAATGCTGAAGTTGTTACAAATAAAGAAACTGAAGTTACAGATAAGACAGAAGAAAATGAAAAAGAAGTTAATATGTTAGATTGTTTGGAAGATTCTGCTGAAATAGAACAAGTGGCACAACCATCTGAAGGAAATAAGAAGAAAAAGAAAATGAAGCACATTAAAACAAAACATGATCCTGTATTTTTAGCAGATTTAGATGAATTAATAAATTTACTTCAGATTTGTTATATATCCAAAAGTTTGCTTAATAATTCACTCAAACATAAAGAAAATCTACTGCCATCAATTTTCAGGGTTAAAAATTTAGTAAAAATAAATAAAGAGGATCATCATAAAACTGGTAACAACAAAAATGTTTCTTTGGAAAATACAATTGAAAGTGAACAAGGAGTTAAAGAAAAACCTAAGAAAAATGGAAGAAAATCAAATTCTGTTCATTCTAGTTTGCTTCCATCATCTGAGGAAAAGGTAGAAGTTAGTGAAAATTGTTTGCCTCTTAAAAAGCGACATCATCGAATTGATATCTTGCAACATGATGGTGAGTGTAATCGAAAAGATAATTTTCGGCTAGACAGCAAGTCTATAAAATCCATTTCATCGCGAAAGTCAGCTCTGATGGTTAAAGATAAGAATTCTGTAGATGAAGCAATAGAAGCATGTATCAATAGATATGTAAAAAATATGACTAGTAATGAAAATGAAATTTATGATAATTATGTATCATGTAAACAAAAATCTGTAAGAGGTAATGTCTCACAAAAACCTTATGTGGTATCCACTACCTCTCTAAATGAAGAAGATTCAGTAAATGAAAATATGAATGATAAAGATTCAAATTCTATAGAAGAAGCAATTGAAAGCTGCATTCAAAAATATTCTTGTGATGATATTGAAATTTATGATCAGTCTGAAAGTGTTTCATTTGATGTAACTAATGAAGATACTAAAATTGATGATTCAGACTCTGATGATCTACCTCTTTCAACACTAGCTGAATTAAGTAAAAAGAAACAGGATTCTGCATGTTTATCTCCTAAAACTGATAATAGAGAATTTAATAAAACAGTTGCTGCATTAAAAGAAAGGCAAATGAAACTTTTAAAAAGTCAGATTTGCATTCAAAAGATTTCCTCAGAGGAAGTAAAACCTCCACCTAAATTAAGAACAAGAAAAATGAAACGTACACGACGTGCAATAAAGAGACAAAAGCCAGTTGATGAAAATTCCAATATGTTTCCCAACTCAAGTATTTTAGACTTTGAAGATGTAGAATATGAAAACAGCACTGATGTTTATTGTTCAAAAAATGATAAAATAGAAGAAACAATTGAATATGTGGTAAAATCAGCAACAAAAGACAATGAGGTTACCGAAAAATCTTTTGTACAAGATGAGGTTGAGGAATCAATCGTAAAAAGACCAAAACTGTATCCAAATGAAACACATACACAGCCTGATTACCCTCAAGTTATCACTGTTACTGAATCTTCAACTGGTCGTAGTTCTGGGCAGAGTGAAGGTAAAAAACTTTGTAAGAAAGAACCTCGCATGCCAAAAAAGCAATATTTAAAAGCTGGTCTTTATTCTTCATATTTTAAACAAGATGGATCTTCTCAGGGAGAAAATGCTGAATTTGCTAATTTAAATCCTGATGATCAGAACATTCTACAAGAATGGTCTCAAAGACAGGCAAATTCAAGAAAAATCTATAAGAAAAATGGCAAAAAGTCAAAATTTAAAGATAAGATAAGCAATGAATGTGAACAATGTTTATTACCACCACCTATTCATGTTGGAAGATATTTACGTGAAAGGCAATCAGATTTTCTGCTACCTTATGATTTGTGGTGGCTGTATAAACATAAACAACTCCTATACCAAATTGATCCATCAACTAATTATAAAAAGACACGAACAAATGTTTATGTAGATATCAAACCTGTTTCCCGTTTTGAAGTACAGAGTTGCAATTGTATCAGACCCAAAGAAGCAACTGAGAAAGGTTGCGGACCAGATTGTTTGAATAGGATCATGTATGTAGAATGTAATCCTCAGCTCTGTCCATGTGGTGACCAGTGTTCCAATGAAAGAATACAAAGACATGAATGGAGTCCAGGCTTGGAACGTTTTATGACTGCAGATCGTGGATGGGGAATTCGCACCACAGAAGCAATAAAAGCAGGAAGTTTTATTTTGGAATATCTTGGTGAAGTAGTTAGTGAGCAGCAGTTCCGACAGCGCATGATTGAACGTTACTCAAATGATCGTCATCATTATTGTCTGAATTTAGATAGTGGGATGGTGATCGATGGTTATCGCATGGGTGGAGAAGGACGTTTTGTGAATCACTCCTGTGAACCAAACTGTGAAATGCAAAAATGGTCTGTGAATGGAGTTTACAGGATAGGATTATTTGCACTTAAAGATATACCTCCCGATACAGAACTTTGTTATGATTACAATTTCCATAATTTCAATATGGAAACATTACAGGAATGCAAATGCGGTAGTTCAAAATGTAGAGGTTTCATTGGAGGCCGTTCACAGAGATTTACAACTCAGGTCCAGCAGCCACAGACTAGAAATGAGAAGAAGAAAAAAGTAGGAAGACCGCCTTTGGGATCTAGGAAAAAGGTACAAGCGACTAAACGGAAACCAAAGATTGTTCCAACAACCAAGTCATCGCCAGCACTATCATTAAAACCTATATCTCATCAGCAAAGATGTTTCATTCAGAAGCATCGCTGCTTTTTGTTAAGAAATTATCAAAAAGTAAGATATGCACGGGAGCACCTACATATGCTTTCACAGAAAAATAGAAAGCAGCTCACAAAACAAGAAATGGCACTTTTACAAAGCACGGGTTTAGTAAAAATCCATTCCCGGACACCCTCCGAAACTTGACATTTTAATTTATAGCACACAGTAGGACGAAAGGCATTAAAAACATGGTTGATTCCATAAAATATTAACGGCCATATATCAAGAGTGTCACGCTGTTTTAAATTGGCGTGCAAATTCGGTGTTGTGTTATGTACAGAATGTAGTAATTTTTATTATCTGATATAATAGCTACAGTTTGCACATATATGGTTTACCATTTGTTCTGTTTGCCATTTAAAACCAATGTAAGAAATGAATTACAAAGAAAAAAATTATATATATATAAATATATAACTTTACTGCCATCATTCAGGGGACCTGGAAAGTTACATTTCTTTCCAAGTATAATGTGTTATTTCTAACCTGTTGAGTGTGCTATAAAATTATTTAAATTGTGGTTAAATATTTTGGTTTTTTGTATAGTAGATATATATATGAAATACAAACAGTATTCTCCCCTCATCTGAACCAGAGTACAATATACTTTGGTTTGGCCTGGCAGTTTACGGTCGAAACTAGAATAGACAAAGGCTCGTGCTTACTGATTCGCACGGGAAAGCGATCGAATCTCAAGGTCCGAAATGATATTCCAAGAATGACTCCGAGAGAATATTTATGCGGCAAGGAAAAGGGGAAACTATTTTGTTACGATTTTTCTGTCCAGTATAGTGACAACATTAAAATGAAGACTGTGCATATATTAAAAATTGTTTAGACTTTTATGCCATTTCTCGGTAAAGGATTTAAAATGAAACTTCATTGTGTAGCTTTGCACTTGCGCCATCTATTGTCAGTTTTGTGTTTGTGTCCTCCACCTTACATTTGTTATACAGTGTATAATAGAATTTTTAACCCAAGAGCATTAAACTTTTATAAACAAAATTCTAAATTTTGTTGGTTTACTTTTTTTATTATTATTAATTATTATTATTTTAGAAAAAACACCAGAAGGTAATCAAATGATTTGAATTTTATGCTAAATTTTAAATAAATAAATAAAAACAAATTGGCTGAAAGTCAAAATGTAAAATAAAATTATTGTATTTGATGGAGTTAGTCTTTTTTTATATTTATATATATATATTTATCTTTCTTTTTTAATGTTCTTTTAATAAAATCTAGAATGATAATTTTACTTGCCTGTTTGAATTTTAAGATTTAATTTAAAGTTATTTTGCAGATAATTTATTTTTAACTTTGAAAAACACAGTTATATATTTAACAATTATTTTAAATACAGTAGATCCCCCTATAAGACGGTAGATACGTTCCGTTCTTTATGAATCAATTTTGTAGGAATCATAGTTTACGGACTACGGCTGTTTGAAAGGTTTTCTTTCATAAAATTAATCGATTCTAGACTAATTCGACTCAACATTTCCAAAATACGTATATTTTTTTGAAAATAATCCGTATAAACTACGTTATAAACAAAAAATTGTAGGATTGCTTACCGAGTGTGTACCGTTCGACTACGCCCGTTGCTAAAGCTTGGTTTCGTCGCGGAACAGCGCATCAAATTGCGGCCGCGATTTCTGATATTATTTTTCTGCGAAAACTTCGTTGACCTTTGGAGACATCATTAATATAAATAATTTTTATGGCCGTTAAATAAGAAATGTTTCTTTCACAAGAAATGTATAAAATTACAGTACTAAACAGACGATAGGTCGCCTAACTCGCCGTAGCGTGACGCTAGACGGCGAAAAATATATATTTAATTATAATAAAGTTACAATAAATTAAGTTAATATATAATTATATATACAGTACCTAATTTATATATAATTAATATATAATTATATGTACAGTACCTAATTTATATATAATTTATATAATACTGTCCAGACGATAGAAATCTCTCCGTAGCGTGGCGCTACGGACGGCGGGTAAGTAGTTCGGCTGCCCGATGACGTTTTACGTATTATAGGAGTTATTTTTACCGTTGTTTACGGATAATGCCACAATTTTTATAGGAATCATAACTATAGGAAACGCTTTTATAGGGGGATCTACTGTATACATCTGTCCAAAACTTAAAGACTGATGACATTTGTACATGAATAGAGAGAACTGAAGGTGAATGCAGATAAATATGGCATAAACTATATTACTAAACATCTAACAACTTGTAGGATTTTACAAATCAAAGAAGTAAAAGTAAAGACTTTGGTGAAAAAGATACAGAATTGGACATATGTGGAAGATGGAAAGTACTTAACAATGTCCAGGCAGAGAGAGACCTGTCATATGGCATATGTCCACCTCAAACTGTGATGCAGCACTTTGTCATAGTGGGCTCATCCCCAAGTGACTTTTTCTAGTTATCACCACTAGCAATTGTGTTTGTCCTTAAGTTTTAGGCAAGTGTGTATGATACATAGTTAATTTTTAAGACAGATCTAATTTAGTGGTAATAATTTTATACTGTGCCATTGTGGATTAATGTAAGCAACAACTGAATGAAATTAAATGTTTAATTTTCAGTTTATAATTTGCACATGAACAAATAATTTTAGCTAACTTCAGCTAGGTTCATACTACAAATTTTGTTGTTTGACTCTATAAACAACACAGAAATTGCCTAACAAGTGACAAAGTTGAATCAGCTGAACCCTATTTATCATGTGAAAACATACCACGTGATGCTCAATTTCCATTTATTTAATATTAATCACTATTTTTCTGTTCATGGCCTAGAAGAAGGACAAAAAATTAATTGAGAGATTGAGTTAACAAAATTTTGAACTACCACCAATTTAAGTTATTATATTGATTAATGAATATTCAAATAAAAATTAATTGATTAATAAAAAATTATTTCTTTAGTTAACTGAAATTATAAAACACTTACTTCATACTGAAGATATAAGTGGTAGTTTGTTTCCAATTAGTGAACTGGTAAAATCATATAGTGTGAACACCTTGTCAGTAATGAAACAACAATCAATGTGATTTTTGTAGCATAATGTGAACATGAATTGGCCATCTACAGGCACTAAATATACAAACTACCAGATTAGATAACCAGTGTTCTACATGTTACAGGAAATTAAACATTCAGTAGAGCATCTGTGCATCCTCAAGCAATTTAGTTCCTTGAGGCTGCACAGATATTCTTTCCATTAAATCGTATGCATAAAGGTTACATATAACATTACAATTGGTTATTTATCAAATCATTAAAGATGAATAGCAATGATTTGAGTTATGGATCTCAATTAATTTTTGGGAAGCTAATTAAAGACTTGAATGAACCAAACTTATCTAACAACTTAGTTTACCAATGATTCTTAATATATAAACATACAAAAATATTCTATATGAAAAGTCAGTTTTGGTTACAAGTCTATTGTTTTTTGATACTGTTTTCAGAATCTTTAATGGGCTACATCAGTGCTGTCTTAATTTCTCAATTGATGGGCCAAATTGCACATAAGTCAGTAGGTGATCCACAAATATTTTATATATCCTTATGTACTACAAAAAGTAAATCTATTTCTATAATAAGTGATGTGAAATATGTTTGTGGGCCAGATTTGGCCCACTGGAGTCATAGTTTGGACAGCACTAATCTACATTACGAACTATTATGTGAAAACAAAATATTATAAGAAATATGTATAGTACTGTACATGAAATAACAAATTTAGAACGAATTTCTATAATTATTTATCTTCTAAGATTTCCTAGTTACTGTCTGTGAAAAATTTACATATATCTAATCAATGTGTTGTTGACTAATCTATTTTATTTGTGCAAAATCATTAATTTTTAATTAAATTCTAAAACAAAACCAAAAAACAAATATTTAGTGAAGATTTGTGTATTATTTTCTATATTCTATCTTCATTGTTTTAATGCTCAATTCTGAGATTCTGTAATGAATTTTTTTTAGTTTTATCATAATTTTATCTTGTGAAAAGTTAACATACTTTTTGTAAATTATTATTTTTTATATATATATCACATGTTTTCAGCAAGCATTCAGTACTGTTATTTTAAAGCTATTGGGTTCATTCCACTATGCATCAGTCTCACAAGTCAGCCATAACCAATACATTGATGAAAGGTTTAATAAGCTTATCTAGAACATCTGGCACCATCTTGTTAGATGGTGGTTGCAAACAATGCTGTATTGGCTTTTTCAAAATAACTTTGGATTAATTCAGACAAATAGCACAAAATGGTGTTAATAATATAACCATGGAGGTGACCATATTGCTTCATTAGAAATTACTGTATCCACAGCCCGATAGGTGTAGGTGCAATGTACAGTTTATGTACTGTACATTGGTCATTGCACTAGTGAACTCACTGGAACACATTTTAGTACATTGCGGTTCACTGATGCACTGTTTGATGCCTACTGAAATGTATCCACTGATTTTTCCAACATGCTTAAACTGTTATTTTTGTTTTGAAGGAGAAGCAGTTGAGGTATAGAATTGTGATATATATATATATATATATATAGTAGATTTCTACTTTTACAACATAATTGGTTTACATAAAACTTGTAAAACAATTTCCATATGCTTACTACTATAAATTGAGATTAATTTTCTGGAAATGTAGTTTTAAATATTTAATATCATACAGAGATGGAAATAGAAAATTAAGCATTTTATACAGTTACAATAGAAAATTCATATCAATTATAAAGCAGAATATAAAGTCATAAGTGATTAGTTAATTATTAAATTGTTAAAGATAAAATATGACTACTGGATTGTTGATTTACAATGCTGATCTTGAGAAACTGACTGAACAAACCTTTTAATTTGATTCAAAGCTTAGTTCATTTAATCCATAGATGCACTGTAATACATGATTGACATTCATACATTTTATATAATTCATAGTTAAAATTTTTTTTAATATAAAACTAATCTATACTTACCAACATTTAATTATTTAACTGATTATTTTCAGATATTGCATTATTTTTGTCTCAAATTTAAATTTTCATTCATGTTTTACTTCATTAATTTAATGCTCTAATTTTATTGTTCTCTGACATTAGTTAGCATGTACAGAGTTTAAAAATTGAGAAACAATAGATTAATTATTGAGGCTGCCATTTGAAAAATTTGTAGACCTATAAATTTCCATTGTCATCCATCTGTCCATCTTTCCTTAATCTAGATAATGGAGTTACATGGATGAAAGCTGAGACCATATATGGAAAGCTTAGGGGCGTATGGTCCCGATTAACTATATATGAACTTCCAATGCAAACTGGAAGTCATGTTGTTTCAATTCAAAAATTTTCCCCTGAAGGAGTTAGATAGAAGACCAACATGGTTACAAATTAAGACAGCTTAATTTCCTCACACACTGGGTTGAATATAATATTGACTTACTTAAACCAGCGTGGAATGAATATACATAGAAGCCTGAAGAAGAGCTCAGAAGGGGCATCAAAAATGTTCACAATAATAGAACATAAACACTCTGGTTATTTGGTTTAAGTAAGTTGAAATTAAGACAGCATCAGTGCAATTATTCAAGAT